TGATGATGATGATAATATGGATGAAGATGATGATCAGCAAGAAGAAGAAGAAGATGATGGATTATTAAAAATTCCACATCATAAACCTGATAATTCCATTTTTACAATATCAATTGATCCACAAACACAAAATCGTGTTTGTTCAGGTGGTGAAGATGATCGTTGTCTTGTATGGCGTTTAGATACCGGTGAATTAATACATGAATATGCAAAATTTGAAGATAGTGTTCATCAAGTATGTTGGAGTTTTGATGGAAAATATTTATGTGCATGTGATATGCGTGGACAAATACGTTGTTGGACAGATGATCAAAATGGTCTACCAACTACTGAAGTTTGGTCATTTCATACTGGCAATGATATTGAATTAATGCGTTTCCATCCATCAGCACATGTTTTATTTGTTGGTACAAATGATTCACAATTATGGTTATTTAAAATTCCATCAGGAGAATATAAAATCATGCATGGTGGAAGTGATACAGAAATTAATACCTTAGAAGTACTTACAAATGGTAAGAAAAATTTTTTTTGCGATATAAAATTATTATATTTGATCATTTACAACAGAATACATGATAATATATATGATTAAGGAAATACTTCAGTAATTATCTATTTATTCTTATATTCCTAACGGATAGTCTTCACTTAAATCTCTAGAGGAATTAACAATCCAGATCAATATCTAAAACTTTGTTGAATTAATTTATTATTCAAATCCTGGATACAGACATTCTCCTTTATCTCATCCTACCTGGATATAAAACTGAAATAAACATTCAGATCATCCTTATCTTTTTTTCCTATTAGTATTCTTATAATGATGACGTAAGATTCTTCTTTCATTACTGTCGTGTTTTCTTCGCTTCTTGTCATTCATCGACGAATAGAGAAGACCTCATAGAACTACATATTCTATAGTTATATTTGCTCTATTGATTAAATATATGACAGATATAAGTTTGTTGTTTTTTTGCCTCTGTATATATATATTTGTAAATAGTAATACATACAAATAAATTTATGACAAGTTTCAAGGTTAGATAAATATTCGATTTTGTTTTCCATAAGATAAATTTACATCCGAATGGTTTAATAGAATAAAACGTCTATTTGTGATTCTACTAACATTTAGTTCCGATGAAACAAGTTCTATGTAAACATTTTTTTTCTTGCTTTCATAATCTCTCTAATATAAATGCATACATGACAGTTTTTCTTTTTGATTTTCTATCACTTGCTATCGATAACTGAAGAATTTTTTATAATAAAATTAGTTTCGATGCAAGTAATGAACTAAAATTTTGTAAAGAGAAGTTTTCATTTTGTAAGAATTGAAATCATCTGTTTATTATTGATTACATCATTTCATTGAGAAACACTTACTTAATATATATATATAAGTCAAGTGAAATTTTCAACGTTAAATCGTATGTTTATTGAGTTATTATTTATTATGCTGGAGGCAAATCCCTAAGAAGATTAGATAAAGTGATGAAATATCCAATTTAAGTTGTAATATTGCTTATCATTTGATACAATAAAGAATAATATTCGAATATTAGCTTTAGCGTTGAAATAACTTATTAATTCATTTATTCTTCTACATTTTACTAATTACTTTATTATCTAAGTTTCTATACAATTTTAGATTAATAGTAAAATAATAATGTGTTTATTTAGTACCATAGGTTTTTTGTTCGAGAAAGATATTTATGGAATTCTTTATTGAAATGGAGAATATATCTATTTATCTTATTTAGTATCAGAACTCTAATACTATTCTATTATTCGGATGTCTTAAAAGCGCTACATATTTATTAGAGAATATACAATTTCTTTTTTTAGGTAAACAATGTGTATGTGGTTATGGTAATGGTCAAATTAAATTATGGGATCTTAAACAATGTACTATTGTTTGGCAATATGATAACAGTGGTGAAGGTGATGGTGCAATGAATGCTAATAATAAATGTATTTCAATGTGCTTAAATGATGAACAAACATTAGTAGCTTGTGGTTCAGCTGATGGTAATT